GACGGAACCTTGCGTAGGGCTGAAGGTGTGGCCGAGGGCGTGGCTGGAGGAGGGGCTAAGGTCAGATAGGGGGCGTGGTCAAGAGTGGGGCGGGGTTGAGGGCGGGTCCGAGGGCGGGACCGGAGGCGGGGCTAAGGGCAGCAGCTCCAGCCTCCACCTCCTCCAGCCTCCTGCTCGCTGGGGCCTCTTTCTGCCTGAACACTGCCTCCTTCCCGCCTCTCCCTCGGCTGGGTGTGGGCTGCCCAGGTAAAGCTGCCTCCCGCTAAAGGGCCGAGTTCCCGTCCCCCACTAGCAGCACAGAGCGGGCCTCCTGCATGGGGAGGGGGTACAGTCTCGGCCCCCCCATCAGACTAGGAGTACCAAGGGCTGCTGGGACTGCCTTCTCCTCGCTGATCCCCTCCTGGTCGCCAGCTCTGCCCACCGAGCATGGGCACGTCAGTCCCGTTGGTGACAACCCGAGGGCCTGGACCCCGTCAATGTCTGTGGGCTCCCCCCCCACCCCCGTGGCTTGGTGCCCTGAGGCCCTGCTCGGAGCAGAGGGGTCTGCGCCCCGGCCGGCCCTGCCCCTGCTCACGGAAGCCCCATGGAGATGAGGGACACAGCCACCACCAGCAGGTCCAGGATGTTGAAGTAGTTGCGGCAGAAGGAGCCCTTGTGCAGGAAGGCGCCGTAGGTGGTCATCTGGGAGACAAGCAGCACCCTGGCTGGGGACCAGCTGCCGAGGGGCCTGTGCCCCCCGAGGAGGGGCCCTCACCCCGGGCTGTGAGCTGAGCCCCCATCTGCTCTCCCGGGTTCTGCCCTGTCCCCACCTCTCTCCACCTTCTTGCTTTGCCCTCACCCCTGCCCCCCAGCCCTGGGGTGAGTGCTGAGTCAGTGACAGCCACAGCAGGTCGGGGTCCCCGGCCCAAGCGGAAGCCGCCCCGGGGCCTTCACTCACCTTGAGGACAATCTCCACAGTGAAGACAGAGGTGAAGGCGATGTCAAAATACCCGAGGATCTGGGGGCAGGGTCGGGAGAGGAAGTCAGTGAGAGGAAGGGCAGAGCAATGATATCATTATAACCACCATCACCATGACCATCAGCACCACCATCATCACCACCACCACCATCACCATCATCATTATCATCACCATCATCACCACCATAATCATCACCATCACCACCATCATTACCACCACCATCACCATCATCATTATCATCACCATCATCACCACCATAATCATCACCATCACCACCATCATTACCATCACCATCATCACCACCATAATCATCACCATCACCACCATCATCACCACCATCATCACTATCACCACCATCATCACCATCATCATTATCATCACCATCATCACCATCACCATCACCATCACCGTCACCGTCACCATCATCACCACCATCACCATCATCACCATCACCATCACCATCACCATCACCATCACCATCACCACCATCACCACCACCATCACCGTCATCATTAAACCCAAGCAACAAGAGCCCGTCTGTGCCGCACGCTGTGACAACGCTGTGGAGAAGGAGTGGACGGGGCAGTCTAGGCCCTCCAGGGACTTAGACGCTGAGAGCTCTGAGCACCGCATAGAGGATGCCGCTGACATCAACACAGAGTGAGGTGTGCGCAGCCTGAGGTCCGAGCCGCCCTCACCTGGTTCCTCACGGACTCGGCCTGGATGGGGTCCTCGGCGGCCAGGGCGGCGCTGCTGAGCATGATGAAGAGCAGGATGAAGTTGGTGAACCAGGTGGCGTTGACGATGCGATGACAGAGGACGCGAAACCTGTGGGGACGGGAGGGTCCGGGGAACTGAGTTCCTGGGCACTCGGGCCTCCCCGCCGCCTCTGTCCTGCAGGGGGCACTGGGTCACTCCCTCCCGGTCAGGGGAGAATAGCGGGCACCTGGACGGCCCTCTGGCTGGCCATGCAGCGGCCCTGCCACCATTCTGTCCCAGCAGCCTCAGCTCCATCTCCCACCCCGGCCCCTCCCATCACTCTCTCCTCCCCAGGACTCCACCACCTACAGCTTCCCCCCCAAAGAAGGGGACAGGCCCGTCTCCATCCCGGAGGCAGGCGGAGGGAACTCTTTGAAGACTATAGTCTGTGTGTTGTTAAAGGCGAGAAGTTGGGACCTGGCTGGTGTGGCTCAGTGGTTGAGCCTCGATCCATGAACCACTAGTCTGTGTGTTGTTAAAGGCGTGAAATTGGGGCCTGGCTGGCGTGCTCAGTGGTTGAGCCTCGATTCATGAACCAGGAGGTCAGGGTTCAATTCCCGGTCAGGGCACACGCCCGGGTTGCCGGCTCGATTCCCTCAGTGGGGGGCGTGCAGGAGGCAGCCGATCCATGATTCTCTCTGGTCATGGATGTTTCTCTCTCTTTCTCCCTCTCCCTTCCTCTCTGAAATCAATAAAAATCTATTTAAAAAAAATTTAAAGTAAATAAAATTACTCTCAGAAAGGAGCCAGTGTAGCCAGTCCCATAGGTGCCAGTACCGCCCCCCACCCCCAGGGATGCTGGCGTGTTAGACGGGGCACAAGGCCTTCAGCTCAAGGAATGAGGTTCTCCCTGCAGGCCCAGAGCATCTTCCCAGAGCAGGAGGCAGCCCCCCTCAGAGCCTGCACGCCCCCCCTACCCCCCACCCCACGCAGCAGCGAGGGGCCACCCACTTGTTGGTGGGGCTGAAGATGAAGAAGGAGCTGGCTTCCGGGATGGGCACCGCCTTCTCTTTCAGCTGCAGCTCGGCCAGGGGCCGCGGGCGCGGGCTTGCTGGGATCTCGGGCTCATCTTCTTCATCTTCCCCTGTGGGGAGGGAGGAGACGCCCAGGAGCCTCTCGGTGGCACCCTCTGTCCGGGATGCTCACGGCCCGGGGGTGGGGGAGGGACACGCGGTCGGGGGTGCACGAGGGCCTGTCCTGGTGGCACCCTCTGTCCCGGATGCTCACA